CGGGGGCGGCGGCGCGGCGGATGGGCTGGTGGGAGGACAGTCCAGGACGGCACACCGCCATCAATGTCCCCGGCCGGGAGTCTCCTTGCCTCAGCGATTTGGAATCCAGCCCCGCAACCTCCCTTCCCACACTCTGGATCAGGTGGCCCACCCCGTCTGCCCACCCACGCCCAACCCCTCCCCTCTCTCAAACAAACCCCACAGGCGAGTGCCTGCTGGAGTGGGACGGCGGCCCTGACGGCGCCTCCCCCCCGCCCGTCCCCCTGCTCAAGGACTTGTTCTCCTCGGAGCGGCGCCGCGCCAAGGTGCTCAACTTCTCCATCGCCTACGGCAAGACGGCGCACGGCCTGTCCAAGGACTGGGGCGTGTCGCTGGAGGAGGCGCGAGAGACGGTGGAGCGCTGGTATGCGGACCGGCCCGAGGTGCGCGCCTGGCAGAAAGCGCAGCAGGCGGCGGCGCAGGGGGCGGGCTACGTCTGCACGCTGCTGGGCCGGCGGCGGCAGCTGCCCGAGGCGGCCAGCCGGAACGGCGCGGTGCGCGCGCACGCGCTGCGCGCCGCCATCAACACGCCCATCCAGGGCAGCGCCGCCGACGTGGCCACGGCGGCCATGCTGCGCATCGCCGCCGACCCGGAGCTGCGGCGCCTGGGCTGGGCGCTCCTGCTGCAGGTGCACGACGAAGTGATCCTGGAGGGGCCGCGGGAGTCCGCGGAGGAGGCGCGGCGCCGCGTGGTGGCCTGCATGCGCAGCCCCTTTGTGGGGAAGGTGGAGCGCCCCCTCCTGGTGGACCTGGCGGTGGACGCCAAGTACGCGGACACCTGGTACGACGCCAAGTAGGATGCGGGTGGTTGGCATGCGATGTGTGATAGGTGGTGACATGTACTCGGGGATGTGTAACGACATGGACGTGAGGCCACATGCCGAGGCAGTGAAGGGGCTTTGATGGGGGCTAGAGCCAACGCAAAGAACAGGAAGCCGGGCGGATGCCGGTCAAGCGCCCGGAGGGAATCCCAGGGGAACCGTCCCTGCAGGCCACGCGAGGGCCTCATCAGCTGACGAGGGGAAAAAGCAAGTGTCTTTCGGGCGGCATCGATTCCAGGATGGCATCCCGGCTGGGCCGGGCCCCAGTACTGGCGCGAGCCGGGTGGCCTGCGGTGCGGAGTGGGTGCTGGGGAGACCGCTTGCTCACCTCCCACGCGGGGGCCCTGGGGCCTGAGCAGCTGAGGAGCGATGCGGACCTGGCAGACCTGAGTAGCCTGACCTATGGACCCACGAGGAGCCCGGCGGATCTCGCGGGGCAGCTCCAAGCCAAGGGGCTGAACCTGGTGGCCGAGGGCACCGCCCCCTTCACCAGGTGATCCTGGGCAGGTTCGATGCCGGCTCCTGGGCATCTTTCCCATCAGAGAGGAACAATGTGATGAGAACACACTGCCCTGTGCATTCCCCCTTCACACATCGTGCAACACCACGTCCTGAGCAATGCCAATACTCCATTCCCCTTCCCTGGCACCGCAAAGGTGGTTTGTGGCCGAGGACGCGGCAGCCGGGGTGCGCACGCTGTGCTGCCGCGGGGTTTCCTGGACCCACCCCAGCCACGACTCCCTCGGCCTGGCGAAGGCCCTGCTGGCCGCCTGGCCCGCGCCTGCGCCCGGTGTGCCGGGCCTCTCCCTGCACTCCGGGGTGGCTGGCCTGGCCCAGGACCTGGCAGCCCAGGTGGGGCCCTGGCTCGACTCTGCGCCCGCCAGCATACGGCTGGTGGGGCACAGCCTGGGGGGCAGCCTGGTGCAGGCGCTGCTGGCTCAGCGCGGCGGTGGCTGGGCCGCCCGCGGTGCGGAGCTGGTGACCTTTGGCTCGCCCCCCGTGCTCGCTCTCGACGCGGCGCCGCCCGCCCAAGACGGCGCTGGGGGGGAGCATGCCATGCTGAGCATGCTGGGGCTGCCCTCGGCAAGGCACTACGTCCTGGGCAAGGACCCGGTGCCGGGGCTCCTCCTTTCCGCCAAGCCCCTCCTCACCTCCCTGGGCGTGGGTCGCCTTGGTGGGGCGCTTGGGTGAGCTGACAGGGTGTGGCAGGGTGTGTTTTCGACTGGAAGCATGTTTGCCAGAGGTTTGGCATGACATCGTTCAGGCTTGGGACTGGCGCTGATGGCGAGGCCGCCCCTGCCGGCCTGCGGCTGCCCTCCTCTGAGTGCGCCACGGCTGGCCCCTCTCCCGGCACAGGTCCCTGCTGGGCAAGGTGGCGGGATCTGGTGCGGCGATGCCCCTGCCCCCACCCACCTACCAGGCGCTGGGTCCGGTGTACCTGCTGCGCTGGAACCAGAGCGCAGGCCACAGCGTCGTGAGGCTCACGCCCGCTGACGTGGCAGCTGAACTGGCAGTGGACGTGGAGTACCTGGGTCGGAATCCCATGCAACTCATGAAGGTAGTGAGTGTGGTTTGGGGCCAAGGGAGGATGATTGAAGGTCGGGGGACAAGTGGACTGGCTGTTTCAACATGGTACTAGCATCCCCCAATCAACAGCTCTCAATCAGCTGATACTTTTCCTTGTACAGGCGCTCATGGATCATCAGCACACGAACTATGCACAAGACCTTCTTGCAGCGGCGTCCAACGCACAAACCTCTGTATTGTAGGTTTTTAAGCTTGTAGGTGTACTTCCTCCTCGGCTGCTGCACGCTTGTTGAATGCTAAGCATGTAGATTGGGCAACTCGGGTCGCGCGCGCAACGTCGACTGACCGCAAAGGGGGAACAGACCTTGCCAAGTTAAGAGACTAGCGACGCATTCTTTCCAAGAACAAGCTTGCTCAGCCCATCAACTAAATTAGACATAATCGAAGGAGTGTGGACCTCACCCTCGGACAATTAGAACGAGGCAAACCCTGGCATGGCCGTCCTCTGTCAAGTGTGCGTTTTGGGGACATGCACATAGTGATCATCAGGGTACCATATACCAAAATTCTAGTACCTCACACTCATTCTCATTGAGATCACTGTGTGCATGCAGGTGTGAGCTCCGCTCAGCCGAGTATACCTGTCCACGCTGCGGGTCGAAGTATTGCTCAGCCACCTGCTACTCCAGTCACTCCCAGCGATGCACCGAGGCTTTTTTCCGGTAGGTTGGAGTCGAACAGTCGCTCTTCAATCGAGTGTCAACGTATATATATCATGCATTTTTAATCAGCCATACAAGAAGGCAGACATGCGTCTACGGACCCCTGCTTGCACATGCATGCTTCTACCCCTGCAGAGACAGTGCTGTCGCTGACCTGAAATCAATCAAGGCTACTGAGGGCCAGCAGACCGAGATGCGTGCCATCCTGGAGCGCCTGCACGCCTCCCGGCTGGAAGATGCCGCCTCGCACTCATCCGGCGAGGAGGAGGGCGAGGAGGAGATCCGGGAGGGCGAGCTCTCGGAGGCCACGATTCGGCGCATCCTGGCCCGTGTAGGTACCACTGCTGCAGGGCAGACAAGCCATTGTGACCGTGGTCATGTCCAGTGCTGAGTCACTGCGCTAGATAGCTGCGGTGGCCTCCTGAAATGAAGATACAGACCAAACCCATGAGCCTTTGCTGCCCCTTTTCAGGCCGAAGCTGGGGGTGAGCTGGAAGTGGTGGAAGAAGACCTCACTCCCGCAGAGCTGGCTGCCTTTCACGCTGCACTGGAGTCTGAGGAGGTGGGGCGCATGGTGCAGCCATGGGTGCCGTGGTGGACCCTGGAAGCTGCCCGGGACGTGCGCTTGGGACCGAGAGGGTTGTCCCTCATCGAGGATGGTATGGCTGGATGTTGCTTGGATGGACGGCAGTGGCAAGGATCTACCACATGGTGCTCGAGCTGCAGGTGTCTGGGCCAGCCTCTGCATGGCAACCACACGACTAGGTCCTTCTGATCTCTATGGGGGCACTGCTGCTTTCAAGAAGTGCTTGAATTCTCCTCACCCCCACCACTCGACAACAAACGCCATGTTGTCACAGTGTCAGAGTCGGAGCCATCCTCGAGCCGGCCCCAGCCAGGTCCTTCCCCCCCCCCCCAGCCAGCCCCTCCTGCCGCTGTCGGCGCTAACCAAGAACCCACCCTCACCCTTGCTGCCCTGCATCCTGCCTCAGCTCCTCTACGCCTACTGCTACACGCTTCGACGCCACAACGGCGAGCCTGACGTGGACGCACTGGGCGCCGGCGAGACGCTGCTGATGCTCTGGCCGGGTACGAAAGATCCACCACCACCCTCCCCTGTGCATGCGCTGCGCCAGACTCTGGCCGACGCAGTGGGGAGCGGTCGTGGCGGCGCCCCCCACGCTTTCTTCGTGGCTGTGGTTGGGGACGCTGTGCAGCTGCTGCGGCTGGGGAGGAGTGCCGTGCTGCTGGCCCTGGTGGATGCCGCTCGGATGGCGAGCCGTGCGCGCAGCGCTGCCGAAGACCTCGAGGACGACGCAGCGCCGGAGCGGATGCGGCAGGTAAGGGAGGCAGGCCGCAGGCCGAAGCACTGGCGCCTGGCAGGGAGTGCGTTGCTCGGTGAGAGATTGGGTGAATCGGCTCTGGAGGGTTAAGGTTGAGGCCCCAAAGATGTGCTGGAATCCCAGCCACGGTGCATCTGCTGCACACAGGGTCGAAAGGCGTTTGTCAGGCAGTTGGCGGCAGTAGAGAAGAAGCTGGTCTTCTTCCTGGCTTGGGCAAACGAGCTGGACGACGGGACGCTGGAAAGCCTGGGTGACGGACTGGCCCTCTTCCTGGAAGAGGAGACCGCAAATATTCAGGCTCAGAACGAAGCCCGTCAGAGGCCTCCCGCCACCCCTGTGCCTGTCATCACCGAGTTGTGAAGGACTCTGAGGCAGTTAGCACTCTCTGGCCACTGGTCGGCGTGCTGGTCAAACCTTGGAGGTATCTATAGTACAGTCGCACCTGATGAGCCCTCCACAGACCTCTTTCAACCAGCATTCCTGTTCTGATTTCGCCTCCTTAGCCTATTCAGCTGAGATGCTCAAGGGTGGACGCTGTCTCGCTCACTAGACCACGTGGCCCTCAGACCACCAGACCTGTCATTTGGTATTTTCAAATTCTCCGGCATGCATTTGCCTCTGCGAGGCGCGCAACTCGGGACGAAGCATCTTCATGTTGCAATGCCGTCCCAGCTCACGGTGTTTTAAAGCACGCTGGATCAGCTCAGTATTAGTATAACCGCTGTTGTCCAAGTGTATTTACAGTACCAAGCATGGCGGACGAGCAGCATGTGCAGGCCGAGGCCCAGAAGGTCATCGATGCTGTCTTGAACACTGGCGACCACACGGAAGGAGGTAATGTGGGTGCAGAAACTGATTATGGCTTCTGAAGATGCATTGAAGAGTTTCATCCCACCGGTATATCTGCTAAACACGCAGGTGCTGCTGTCGATGAGGCCGTCGCAGCCAAGGCCCAGGAGCTCTACACCGATGCCAACCCCGTCGACAAGATCGGGACCGTGCCCACTCCTGTGAGCGAGCCCCAGTCCGTCTCTCCGTTGGAGGATGAGCCTGAGGAGACAGGTCTGGGGCCGGCTCAGGGTGCGCCTGAGCCAACCCCCGCCACTGTCGAGACCCTACCCGACGTCGGAGCGGATCCCGTCGTGGAGCCCGTCGGGAGTGTGGCCGGGGCTTCTCCTGCAACTGGGGGTACCGCAGCCGTGGCCGAGGTACCTGCTCCGGTGGAGGACCCAATCCCTGTGGATCCTCCCGCCTTTGCGGGAGAGAACACTGCCGCCGCCCCGGTGAGCGTCGACGAGGTCCATGAAGCACCAGCACTGCCAGTGGAGCCTGCGGCAGAGGAGCCAGAGGCCAAGCCTGCGGCAGGGGAGCCCGCTGTGGCTGAGCCTGCTGTGGTGCCAGAGGCAGAGGAGCAGCCCGCACCGGAGCCTGAGGTGGCTGCGCCTGCCGTGGAGCCTGCGACCGAGGTGCCTGTCGTGGAGGAGCCCAAGCCAGATGCGGTCCAGGTTGCCCCTGAGCCTGCCGGCACCAAGCGCTCGGCAGAGGAGGTGGCCGTGGAGGGGGAGGCCCCAGAGGCCAAGGCCGCCAAGTTTGAGATCGACCCCGAGGATCCCAATGCCGCCTACTTCAACATCATCCTTGAGATCCCTCCAGGGCAAACCCGCACCTTCAGTGAGGTGAGCTTGCGGGTCTGGGGGGGAAAGCCTGGCGGAGTCTGAACACATTCGGAGCGCTCCTGTCCTCCAGAAGCTCGCATGCCTGCGCCATGCTCCAAGGACGGACCCAGGTTGCCTGCACAACTAGAAGCATGTATTCACCTCGGTCAGAATCCACCCGCGTTCACTCTTCCTCCGCGGCAGATCGCCACCGCCGCGGGCGCCAAGACCACGGCCGCTCGGTCCATCGGCCGCACGGTCGCCAAGATCGCCAACGACGAAACCTCGGGCCTGCCCTGGTGGCGTGTGGTGAGCTCTGTCGGGGCCCTGCAGTCCAACCCTGCGCGCCAGGAGGCGCAGCTGGAGAGGCTGAGGGCAGAGGGCGCGCGACCCAACGAAGGTGCTATCGGGGGTGAGGGGGTTGGCAGTGACCTCTGGTCATGGGGTGTGGAGCGTAGGGTTGTGTTCCTACAGGAAGACATTGCTTGGGCGCATTGCCAGCGCCTGCCAATGCACCAAGCCCCTCCATCGACTTGTCTTCTGCAGGGGAGGGCATCACCGAGTGGGCGGCTCGCGTCGGCGCCAAGGTGGTCGGCACCTATGCGCTGGGCTCCTTGCGCACCGTATTTGCCGACTACGACAACGATGATGTGACGGTATGCGACTGGGTGGTGTGGGGCTAGGCCCATAGGGGAGTCGGGTGTATGGAAGGCCTGGCATCTGCGACGGCAAGGCGGTATGGCGCAGAGGAGTGGCCTGCATCGGGGCAGGGACGGCAGCAGTCGGCCCCATGCATGAAACCCACTGGTACATAGTCCCTCAGCCCCCCTTCCCCTCACTGCACCGTTCCATGTGTCAGACATTCAATCCCCATTCGGTGGAGCCCTTTGAGAGCCGGGAAGCGGCGACCGTCCGTGGGTTCTCCAGGCTGTGAGGCAGGCGTGAACCTGCGTCGTGTTCCGTCTCTGCCTGTCCATGTCCCGGCGGAGCGAGAAGTCGTGTGCCTTTTTGAGAGGGAGAGACCCAGGTAGCCCCCCTCTCCCATCCATTACCCTCGATCACCACAAGCCTCGAGCATGAGTTGTCGTCCCCACCCGTATGAACGCCCTGTCTCCGTGCAACACCGGCATGCGCCCCATCGTGGCATGCCATGACCCCACTCTATCCCAGCTATTATATCCCTCCCGCATGGACGCGGCGAGGCTTCACAGGCTGCAACATGACTCTCATGGCACACACTGGCACAAGAGCAGGTCATTTGGAAGGGAGGAAAGAGGGGGATGCGTATGTCAAAGGCAGGATCTTGAAGGGGCAGTCGCTCCTCGTGCTCGGCGCCCGAGCGGTGTCTTGTGAATGCACGGTACAGGCAGGCCAGGGGTTACAAGTCCCCACTCCCTCACGCAGCTGGACGCCTGCCCACTCAGCTGTCCTTGTCCTTTGGTTGCTCCTCCTCACAGCAATCATCGGGCCCCCAGTCCCGCGCCGACACGCCCTTGGGCAGTGCGTTGGTCCCCTCCACCATCGCCGGTGTCAATTTGTACCGCCCCGCCGACGCGAAGAGCCAGGCCAGCATGGCCCGGATGCTGATGCCCGCCAGGGCAGGGTGGAAGACGGTGAGCACGGACACCACGCAGCGGAAGGTGGTGGCCACCGCAATGGAGCCCATGATGTTCACGCTCACCGCCAGCGCGCCCACGCCTGGCAGCGCCACGTTCATGCCCAGCTCCGTGCCCTGCCAGTACCGCGCCAGGGCGGCCAGCTTGGCAAGCAGGAGGGAGGTGGCGGCCGCGTGGCCGGCGGCGGGCACGGCCGGCAGGGGCCAGCCGACCAGCTGCCCCACCACCTCGTCCAGCTGCTGCACGGTGACCGCCAGCGCGTCCGACATGCCCTGGATATGAGTTTGCAAAGGGAGGAGGGAAGGAGGGAGGGTGGGGCTGTTGGCAATGGACGCCAGGCGTCCCGCCTGGGGATCTGCAACAGCACTGACCCGAGAGCCAGCGCATGCACCTTGATCCTGTAGCAGAGCAGGAGGTTGAGCACGTTGAGGACCAGGACCAGGGAGGCCAGGAGCACGCTGTTGGAGAAGTAGACGGCCGCGGTGAGGGCCAGGTAGAGGAGGATGGAGGCGTCGCGCTTGGCGTGGAACTCGCGCTTAAGTGCGCGCTGGCCCACGCCGGCGGGGCGGTCGTAGGTGAGGGACACGGAGGCGCCAGGGTCGGTGAGGGTGGACACCACGGCCATGGCGCAGATGCGGTCGTACAGGGCGTCCAGGTCGCGGTGCCAGGCGATGAGGCGGCGGTCCAGGGCCCGGAGCGCCGCCGCGTGCGCGGCCTCGTCTTCGGCGGGGGCCTCGCCGGGGACGGAGATGGGGTGCGCGGCCGAGAAGGCCAGCACCGCCAGTGTGTAGCGCTCCGTGGCCTCCCAGGTCTCCAGGTACCCCGTCTATTGTGGTGAGGACGAGGGACAGAGGGAGGGGGGGTGGGGGGTTTAGGAGACCACGCAAGTATGAGGCTGCAGTGTGCCCGGGATGCCTGCGAATCAAGCCCGCAGGAGTTCTTGGTGCCGCCTGCACAAGGTAACCCTGCCTTCAGTCCCCTCTGCACTACCCCTACACCACCCCATCCACACCTTCTCCAGCATGACCAGGGGACCACCAATCACGCAGGCCAGCATGGCCCACCAAACCCAGGTGTGACGCGGGAGGGGATGACGTGAGGGCTGCATTGGGGGCAAGCGCGCCAGTTCACCGACCGGTGTTCAGTACAGCCTCAAACCGCGTCATGGGACCGGGCTTGGATCTGCAGGCACACCAGCAAGATCAAGGTCGAGCAGCACTTGCCGCGGTTTGCGGCGGCCTGCTCCCATTGTTGCATGATCGAGCCTGGCCGGCAAATTTGGGCGCCTGGATCGCTCCCGGAGCCAGCCCATTCAGATGCTCAGGACCGCATCGCGCGCGCTCCGGGACGGATCATAGTTAACATTCTCAGATTGATCTGCCAGGAACAATCTGGGGAGAAGAGGACCGTGCAGCATCAGAGATTATTGGCATGTCTCTCGACAAATAGCACCAGGCAGGATGGCGTCTTCCTTACGCCTGGATGACGCGCTGCGGAGTGCTGCCCAAGCCTACCTGAAACCTCCGGGGTTTCGCCCCTTCTATGGCACGGCAGGTTACCGTGCGCTTGCCCCCCTGCTGCCCTCCACCGTATTCAGGTGAAGCGATCGGGATGTCAAGCCGGTGTTCTGGCCTCTGCCCTGCATGGGGTCCGCACTCTGTCCTGCTGAGTACCCAGCACCCGGCCCCCTCACCGCCATGCAGGTGTGGCGTGCTCATGGCTGTCAGGTCCCTGCTGCTCGATGCCCCCACTGGCATCTGCATCACAGCCTCACACAACCCCGCACCCGACAACGGTGTCAAGCTGGTGGAGCCCACCGGGGAGATGCTGACCCGGTCCTGGGAGGTGGGTGGCTGGGGGCCATGGAGGCGAGAACCTGGGATGGGGGTGGAATCGTACTTGAATCCCCTCACCACCCAGCTCTCTTGGACCCGCCTCACGCAGGCCCACGCCGACAGCCTGGCTTGCGCGGAGAGCACGGAGGCCTTCCTCGCCGCTTTCGCTGCCTTGCTGGAAGCCGAGGGCATCGTGCTGCCACCGTCCTCCTCATCCCAGTCCCATGCCGGCGTGTACATAGCCCACGACACGCGGCCCAGCAGCCCCGGCCTGGCCGAGGCGGCCAGGGTCGGCGCGGCCGCGCTGGGCGTGCCTACGCACGACCTGGGTCTGCTCACCACCCCGCAGCTGCACTGGGCTGTGGCGCGCACGGCGCCGGGCGAGCACTTCAACGAGGACGACTACTTCGCCGAGCTGGCCGGCGCCTATGCAGCTCTGGTCTCTCGCGCTGCCACCGGAGGTGGCGCTGAACCCGCCGACGGTGGCGCTGAACCCGCCGACGTGTCGGTGACCGGCCGTGCCCCCCTCCCGTCGACCCCCACCGTCCTGCACGTGGACTGCGCCAACGGGGTGGGCGCGCCCAAGCTGCTGGCCCTGGCGGACCGCTGCACCGCCGCGGGGCTGCACCTGACCCTACACAACACGGGTGAGGGCGCGCTGAACGGGCGCTGCGGCGCCGACTTCGTGCAGAAGGCGCGGCTGCTGCCGGACGGGCTGGAGGGCGCAGGGCCCTCCTACCCCTGCTGCTCCCTGGACGGCGACGCCGACCGCATCGTCTTCTTCGTCCCCGGCACGGGGGCGGGCTTGACGCTGCTGGACGGCGACCGCATCGCCGCGCTGGCCGCGCTGCTCTGCGCCGACCTGGCTGCCGCGCTGCCGCGGGGACTGAGCCCGGCGATCGGCGTGGTGCAGACCGCCTACGCCAACGGCGCCGCCACGCGCTACCTGACCGAGGCGCTGCGCCTGCCGGTGACGGTGACCCCCACCGGGGTCAAGCACCTGCACGCCGCCGCCCACGCGCACGACGTGGGCATCTACTTCGAGGCCAACGGCCATGGCACCGTGCTCTTCGCGCCCGCCTACCTCCTGCGCCTCAAGGAGTTTGTGCAGGCGGGTGTCGGAGGAGGGTTGGGGGAGGGGGGGTTGGGGGGTTGCAATTGCCACGACAAGGAAGGAACGGATCTGTGCTGGTCGATGGAAGAACATATCGTCCCCCTCCCCTTGGGCCCTGGAGGCTAGTCAGAAGCACCTCAGCCCCCATGCACATCCACCAGGCGAATGCCGACGATGAGGACCCCACGATAGCGCGAGCCGTGGAATCCGGGCGTGACCTGCTGGCGCTGTCCCTGCTGGTCAACCAGACGGTGGGCGACGCGCTTTCCATCTTGCTGCTGGTGGTGGTGGCCCTGCGGCGGCGCGGCTGGACGCTGGAGGACTGGGCGGGCATCTACCGCGACCTGCCCTCGCGCCAGAGCGTGCGCAGCGTGGCGGACCGAAGCGTCATCGTCACCGCCGACGCGGAGCGGAGGGTCGCCCGCCCCGCAGCTCTGCAGCCCGCCATCGACGCAGCCGTGGCAGCGGCGCCGCAGGGTGCGATGGGTTGGGTTTCAAGAGTGTGGGGCGAGTTGCCAATTGTCTGTGTGCCACATGCAGAAGTAGGAGGTGCGGGCCAGCGATCCAGGCATGCTCGTTCGCCTGTACGCCAGGGGGATGCGAGGTAAACAGCATTCACCCTCGCACCCACAGGCCGGGCGTTTGTGAGGCCGTCGGGAACCGAGGATGTGGTCAGGATCTATGCGGAAGCTGCCACCCAGGAGGATGCGGATGCCCTGGCCGCAGAGGTGTCGGACCTTGTGGCCCTGCATGCCGGCGGCCTGTGATCCCCGCACCTGACGAGCCCTCCTGACGAACGCATGTTTCCCCCCCCCCCATCCCCCACTGCCCATCACCGCCACTTGTCAGAAACTCACACCTTCATCTCCAAGCTTACATGGCAGTCGACCTGCTGCATACAGAAAGCAGCGCGCATAGGGGACAAGAGCAGCATGCAGGGGAGCGAGCGGGGACGGGGGGCACTCCTAGCCCCCCGTCAGACGCTTGGCACGTGCACAGGCTGATGTGGCCCTGGAAGAGTATGCTCCCTCAGACCAGGAGGGGTTGGGGGGTGGCAGCGGATGGATGCAAAAAGGGCCAGAGCGGTTGGTGTTCCCAGAACTGCGGGTGGGCAAGATGCGCGCGCCGGGCGTGCCCCCGCTGCGCGCCCGCCTCCCTTTCTTCCTTGCCCTCCGCCCTACTTCTTCAGCAGCGACTTGGCGGTGGCCACGACGTTGTCCGGCGTCAGGCCGTACTTCTCGTACAGGATGGGCGCCGGAGCAGAGGCGCCAAAATGATCCACGCCCAGGGACACGCCCTTGGCGCCGACGTACTTGAACCAGCCAAAGGTGGCCCCCGCCTCGATGGAGACGCGCGCCTCCACCTCGGGCGGCAGCACCGAGTCCCTGCGTGACGGGTTGCAAGGGGGAGGGGGTTCGGGCAGGCTTGCGCACGGAGGCCGGCCACCCACTTTCCTCCCCCCGATCGATGCATTCGTGTGGCCATCCAACCCCTCCCTCCTCGATCCCCGCCCCCCACCCTCCCAACATGAAGCAAGACCCCTTTGCGCTCACTTGTAGGACTGCTCCTGCTCCTCGAAGAGCTCCCAGCAGGGGAAGGAGACGACGCGGGCCTTGATGCCCTCGCCCTCCAGCTTCTTCCCAGCCTCCACGGCAAACATGAGCTCCGACCCGGTGGCCATCAGGATGACGTCGGGGGTGCCTTCCCCACCCGCCACGACGTAGGCGCCCTTGGCCACGCCCTCTGCGGAGGTGGAGTCCATGTTGGGCATGCCCTGGCGCGACAGGGCCAGGACTGAGGGGCGCTTGATGCCCGTGGCGTTGACGGCGGCCGCGTTCTCCACGGCCACCTTGTAGGCGCCTGCGGTCTCGTTGCCGTCGCCGGGGCGGAGCATGAGGATGTTGGGCATGGCGCGGAAGGAGGCCAGCTGCTCCACGGGCTGGTGGGTGGGCCCGTCCTCGCCCAGGCCGATGGAGTCGTGGGTCATGACGAAGAGCTGGCCGGCCTGGGACAGGGCGGCCATGCGGATGGCGTTGCGCATGTAGTCCGTGAAGATGAAGAAGGTGGCTGTGTAGGGCAGGAGGCCGGGGGAGTGCAGGGCCATGCCGTTGCCGATGGCGCCCATGGCGTGCTCGCGCACGCCGAAGCGGAAGTTGCGCTCGGCGGGGGAGTCAGCCTGGTAGTCGCCGGAGCTCTTCACCAGGGTCATGCAGGAGCCGGCGAGGTCGGCGGACCCGCCCAGCAGGCCGGGCAGCACCGGGCTCAGCGCGTTGAGCATGGTCTGGCTGTGCAGGCGCGTGGCCAGGCCCTTGTCGGCGCTGGTGAAGGAGGGCAGCACGTCCGCCCAGCCCGCGGGCAGGTGCCCGCTGGTGATGGCCTCGTACTCCGCGTACTCCTCGGGGTACTTCTCCGCGTACTCGCGGCGGGTGGCCTGCCACGCCGCCTCCGCCTCCTCGCCGCGTTTGGCTGCCTTGCCGAACTCGTCGTACGCCTCCTGGGGCACCTCGAACTCGCCGTAGGGCCAGCCCAAGTTGTCGCGCGTGGCCTGGGCCTCCGCCGCGCCCAGGGCGGAGCCGTGCACGTCGTGCGAGTCGGCCTTGTTGGGCGAGCCGTATCCGATGATGGTGGACACCTTGATCAGGGTGGGCTTATCCGTCACGGACTGCGGAGGAGGTGGAGGGGTGTGGGAGGGTCGGGCTGTTGAGGTTTGGGTGCTTGAGTGCATGTGGGGGTGCCAACAGCAGGCAGCTGCGGGGTGGGCTGCGCCGGCCGCCAGACCGGGCGCATGAATGATGAAGCCACTCCACCATGGCCCAGCGTCGTCGCCACGACCCGACAGCCCCCTCCTTCCCCCGCCACCTTGGCCTCGTTGATGGCGTCGCGCAGGCCCGCCAGGTCGTGGTTTCCATCCTTGACATGGATGGTGTGCCAGCCCAGAGCCTCGTACCGCGCCACCACATCCTCGGTGAAGGAGATGGAGGTGTGGCCGTCGATGGAGATGCGGTTGTCGTCGTAGAAGGCGATGAGCTTGCCCAGCTTCCAGTGCCCCGCCAGGGAGGCGGCCTCGTTGGAGATGCCCTCCATGTTGCAGCCGTCGCCCATGATGCAGTAGGTGTAGTGGTCCACCAGCTTGGCGTCGGGCTTGTTGAAGCGCGCGGCCAGGTGCGTCTCAGCCACAGCCAGCCCCACCGCGTTGGCGATGCCCTGGCCCAGGGGGCCTGTGGTCACCTCCACGCCCTCGGTCTCAAAGTTCTCGGGGTGGCCGGGGGTCTTGCTGCCCCACTGGCGGAACTGCTTCAGCTCGGAGATCTGTGGACGCAAGGTCATGAGGAGGGAAGAGTGTCACTTGAGCGGCTGCAGGGGAGGCACCAGAGGGCGGAACATGTGTGGGCAGAGCTACTTCGCGGCAGCACACTGCCAGTACAACACCGCATCGCCCGACACAGTCCGCCATCCCCACGACCCCCATACTCACCGGCAGGTTGAAGCCCATCAAGTGCAGGATGGCGTACTGGAGCATGGAGCCGTGGCCCGCGCTCAGCACGAAGCGATCCCTGTTGGGCCACTTGGGGTCCTTGGGGTTGACATTCATGAAGTCCTTCCAGATGACGTAGGTCATGGGGGCGCAGCCCATGGGCAGCCCCGGGTGGCCAGACTTGGCCTGAAGTGGAAGAGAGGGAGCAAGGACAGTGAGGACGGGATGCAGAACGAGAAGGGAAAGGCGTAGACCTGGCAGATCGCAAGCCCCACCAGCCGCCCCAGCTAGGGTTTCTGACCCATGCATGGGGGTATATCACATGTGACACCCTTCAGGTAGCATGGCATGCAGCTGCAGCCCCCATGGGTCATATCAAGTCTATTTTGCGTTTCTCACCGCGTTGACGCCGTCGATGGAGAGGAAGCGGATGGCTGCAAGGGGGTCATGGCGATGGGGTGGGCTGCACAGTGCATCGAAACCCGGGTGACCCGACGGCGACCCGATGCCACGGCATGGCATGCATCTAATCAACTTGTTCGGAATCCTTACGCGCCTCACTCACCATTGATGGCCAGCTCCGCGTTCTTGTCCTTGGGCTTCAGGTCACCGGTCGCCGGGGGGATCTCCACCGCAAGGGCAGCGCGAGTGAGGGGCCTGCATGTCCGCAGTGTGCGACGAGTGAAGCGAGGAGCCGAGAACGGCGCGGCCACTCCCTGACGCACGCTGCAGAGCCCGGGCCGGGTAGGGGCCACGCTCAGCAGACACTGTGCAGCAACCATGGCGGATGTAGCTCTGTTCTTCCCTAATGAAGCAACGCTGTGGATACAAGCTATACTTGCGCGTTCAAAGGAAGCTTATGCCACAAACTGTCTTATCTTGTCATGGGTCGGCACCCCTCTGCTGCTACCGTGCGCACGAGGCGTATCTCATCCGCTTCTTGGGGGGTGGCGGGAAATGTGCTTCGGCAGGCAGTGGCACACCTGCAACACACGTCTCGGACCCTGCAAGCCTTGCCCTGGCTGGCACCTGACAGCACCAAAGCTTTAACGGTATGAAGAAGCACCTGTGGCTTTAGAATGAATGCTGGACACAGAGCCCAGCTCCTGATGCTTCCCCACCCCCAAAGCCCTGTTCCAATCAAGGTCTTGCCAGCTTGTGTCCAAGTATCAAGTACATGCTTTATTGGAAGGTGGCTCAGTACGCCTTTGCAAACAGGGCCACCTGATCGGCCGGTTTCCCGGTCAGGAAGCAGGTGCCCCCCCCGCCAGGCTGCTCCAGGGGGAAGCACCGCAGCGTCGCACCGCTTTCCTCCTTCAGCGCGACTTCCTGCTCGTCGCTGCCTGCCCACCACCCGCGCGCCCACTTGCCTGAGTTGTGCGTGGGTGTGAGGGGAAGTGCGCAGCATGTGCTATCATGCCGAGCTGGGCAGCTGGTCATGCATGGGGAGCACAGAAACTCCCCCATCTGGCACACACCTCACCTTGCTCAATGACCTCCAAGAACTGGGAGTGGGAGGACACATCCAGGATATGCTCGTCCCTGAACCTTGTCGCCCTTTCCAGCAGCTCAGCCTGGACCTCATCCAGCCGCTTCAGGACCTCCTGCACCAGGAGCTCTGGAGCCAGCGGGACGCCAAACTCCTTGCCTTCCTTTCCAGGACGGTCACGGCGCGCGATGGCACATGTCCCAGACGCCACGTCCCTCGGCCCGATCTGCGGGGTCAATGTTGATGGGTTGAGGAGGGTGACTTTGGTGTGGCTGTGCAGCGCTGCGGCTGCCACCATACGCTCCAAGGCCCAGGCCCTCTGGCCCTGATCTCCAACACTGTAAACCTTTACGGACATGGGGCATTGATCACGGATCTCATCCTCTGGACGCTGTCCTGGACCCTCTCCACAACCTACCAGTCCTCCCCTCCCTCACCCTTCGCTCCTCACTAAGAACACCAAAACACCGCCCCACCTCGATGCGCAGGGGCACGCCTTTCATCTCCCAGTGGCTGAACTTCCAGCCCGGTGACTTCTCCGTCCCCACGTCCGCCTGCGCGCGCACGCCCGTCGCCCTCAGCGCAACCAGCGCGGCATCCACGGCCGCCAGCACGGCGGCGGCGGCCGCGCCGCGCGCCGCCACGGGCACGAGCACGACCTGGAGGGGGGCCATGCGCGGCGGCAGGCGCAGCCCGGTGTCGTCGCCGTGGCTCATCACCACGCCGCCCACCATGCGCGTGCTCATGCCAAAGCTGGCCTGGTGCGCATGGCGCAGGCGCCCCCCCGCGTCGGAGAACTGGGTGCCAAAAGCGCGCGAGAAGTTGTCGCCCAGGTCGTGGGTGGTGCCGGCCTGCAGCGCGCGCCCGTCGCGCATCATGGCCTCGATGGTGAAGGTCGCGTTCGCGCCCGCAAACTGCTCGATCCGCGACTTGCGCCCGGCGATCACGGGCATGGCGGCCTGGGTCACCGCGAACTCGCGGTAAACCTGAGGGTGGTTGGTGGGTGTTTCGGGGTCGGGGTTGGCCGGGAAGGGATGCAAAGCAAGGCAGTGGGGGGGCGCGTGGAGGGGCGTGGGACGACGAGGCACCCAAGCACCGCATCTCAGCTGATCAGAGTGGCCCTGGGACCTCGCAGCCCTCCAGTTCCTGCCTGCCCCCCCACCAACCTCCACTCCCCCCACCGCCTCCCAACCTCCAGCATGGCCATGGCCTCGGCGCGGGCCTCCTCCGGGGTCGCGTGTGCGGTGTGCCCCTCCTGCCACATGAACTCCAGCGTGCGGACAAAGGGGCGGGTGCGCATCTCCCAGCGGTGCACATTGGCCCACTGGTTGAGGCGCATGGGCAGGTCGCGGTGGGACTGCACCCACTTGGCAAACATGCTGTTGATGATGGTCTCAGAGGTGGGGCGCAGTGCCAGCGGCTCCTCCAACTCCTTGCCGCCGCCTGGATTTTGAGGCGAGGGGGGGGGGGCGGAAAAGGGGAATCAAGGTGCACGGCTGCACACTGGTAGGCTGGCTGGATGGGCTGCGGGCAGACAAGGAGGCGGCGCTGGCGGATGCTGGCACGACTCTGACTGGAACAGTGTGCACCCTGTTCTGAACAGTGCGCACTGCCCCCATCCCAGCTTATGCTGCAACACCATGGCCATCCAGGGGATTACATCTCCAGCACCCCACCCCCACCTCGGGTGACGATGGCCAGCTCAGGCGCAAAACCCTCCACGTGCTCGGCCTCGCGCTCAAAGAAGCTCATGGGAATAAGCTGGGGGAAGTAGGCATTCTGGACGCCATGCTCCTTCAGGGCCGCATCGAGCCAGGACTGGAGGCGCTCCCAGAGGGCATAGCCGTAGGGGCGAATGACCATGGTGCCCCTGACCGGGCCATAGTCGGCCAGCTGAGCCTCCCGTATGACATCCAGGTACCACCTGGCATAGGCTGAGGAGCGGGGTCAGGGCCAGCAAGGCTTACGGGCCAGGAGGCCACGTCCTGTCTGCTGAGGCGCCTCTTGTGCCTACCTGGAGAAGTCTTCACTCAGAGGTGTCACGCTCTGCTCCGAGGCAGGCCCACTGCGCTTGGAATCCTTGGCAGGGGAGGCGGGCTGGGCCGATGCCGCGCTCAGAGACCGCGCTGGGGCTCGGAGGACCGACACCAGCCGTGTGCGAGGAGCTCTGAAGGCATGCTGCGGTCCCAATCTGTGGGGAATGGAAGATGCACCACTGAGAAAACCTGTATCAACGTACAAGCGTCTGACCATCGAGACCTGCGACAATAAGCCAGAGCCCCACCTGATGCTGGACAGGACCACGGACATTGCCCAGGTGCTGGATTGCGTCTCTGACGATCACGCCCCCATCAGCCTTTGAAGATGAAAATGAAGCACGCCCACAATTGATATTATCTATCCTTTGTTGTACTAGAAAAATACTGAACGAGTGTGCGTTCGGAGAGCGGTCCTGCATGTTATCCGTATGCTTCGTATTCCGGGGCGTGCTGCGGCTGCTGCCCTCGATCCCAAACAACAAGCAGTCGATCAAAACCTGTGCTTGCTCTCATCAGATCCAGCCATCGACCCACTAAAGTCCCACTTGTCGCAATCAAGATCCAAATCAACGTTGCGCCCCAACCTGCAGCCATTCCAAAGACTTGTGGACACCATCTTGACTCTCGGTGGCCTTTAAACGCAACTTCACACCTTCATGGCTGCACAAGAGCTTAAGACAGAGCAGGAGATAGTAAATAAGTTTCAGCAGCTCTTGGAAGAGCGCAATGCCCTCTCCACGGCTGCCATCGAGCGGCGGTCAGAGGTGGCCGAGCACGAGCTCGTCGTCAAGACCCTCGAGCCCCTGGATGCCAGCCGCAAGTGCTTCAAGCTGCTAGGGGACATCCTCGTCGAGCGGACGGTGGGCGAGGTGCTCCCCACCGTGAATGAGAACAAGAACAACCTCCTATCGGTGAGTTGGGTGGCGTGTTCTGTGGATGCTGGGGTGAAGAGATTGTTGAAGCACGGACGACCAGCGTCATTCCACCATTCACCCAATGCACGCAGCTGGTGAGGACGTACGAGCAGCAGCTAGAGGCCAAGCAGGCCGAGGTGCTGGCCTTCCAAGACAAGTACAAGATTCGCGTCAAGGCAAGGCCTGTTGGATTGGATGTGCGATTGCGCTGCGAGGTCTTCTGCACCTCCGTGCACCAGGGTCAATCCCTTCGAGCACCTTGCCCCCTTGTGCAGGGGGAGGGCGAGAATCAGGCAGCTCCCAAAGCCCAAGCACCAGGCAGCGGGAAGCAGGGAGTCCTCGTCAGCAACTCATGAGGCTCTGGGGTGCCCGAGCTGTGTGCCCAGATGTACAGTCGGCGTCCCACAGCAGAGAGCAGGGAGGGTGCCAGTGCGATGGTGGTTGCGCCAAGGTGGGGCTGCTCACAGCTCTGAATACACGTCCCCTGCTCAAAGGGACAGGAGTTCAGACGTCTTGGCAGCTGCCCCCGTGGCAATGGCCGGTGGCCGGCAGAGAAACAGGATTGCGGCGACGTGGGAGGCGCCGGCGGCATCCTCCCCCGGCCTCAGCACGGAGAGGCCGCCGGGCTGCGCGGCGCTCTCCACCAGCCGCCAGCCGTCGCCGGCAGCCGAGGCGGGCCCCACATCCACCACCAGGAGCCCCGGCCCCGCCTTTGCGCTGCCCATGCCGGCCTGTAGCACGCTGCAGTTGGCCACCCGGAGGCCAGCGGGAGTGCCGGCCTGGGCGAGCGCCGGCCAGAGCGGGAGCGCGACCCAGTCGTGCGCGCTGGACCCCGCGGGCAGGGCCACGGTGGAGAAAAAGTCGCCGCGGCCCTGGGCGCGGGGGCAGGCCCGCAGCGTGGCGGGGGCCGTGGACTCGAAGGCGCCGGCAATGGGCAGCAGGCGGGTGCCCAGGTCCGTGGGCATCAGGTGGAGTGTGCTCAGCCTGGGCAGCTTGGCGGCGGCGGCCTCCTCGGGGGTCGGCTCCTTCTTGGGCTCCAGCAGGCCGCCCAGGGCCTGGCGTGCCGAGGGGGTGACTGCCAGGTCCAGGCCTGATTTCGCCAGGGCGGCAGACTCCACCGGGTCCCGGGTCTCGATGGACTGGGAGGATATCGGGGAAGGGGAAGGGGGAGAGTGAAATTTGCGCCATGGAGGAAGTGAGTTGCAGATTCGTTGTTTGGGACGCATTTCCCATGTTGATCAAAGGTGGGCAGAAGAGGTACAAGGACCTATAGCGACGACAGACGTCGTCACCTGGGCGACGCACCATGGTTTGGCTACATCCCCTCAGCCCAAACTCTCGACAGCCCACAGTAATCCTGCCCCAAGGCACTCACATCGCGGTAGTACTTGAAGGCCAGGCAGTCGGCTGGCGCGTTGCTGAAGCCCTGCTTGTCCCCCTCCCTTCGCACCCACTCCTTAATGGCTCGAGCGAGGACACGGGCGCTCTGTAGGGCCGGGGCAGGATGGGTGTGGGTGGGCTTGCATTGCATGTTGTGTGATTGCTGCCCCCCCGCACACTGGGGCGGGTAGAAAGGTTCGACAAGCGTATAGCACATGCAGCCAATATATGGTGGCAAGCAGGAAACCCAAACAAGCAGCGTCACAGAGGTTCAGAGAAAACTACAGCAGATGACCTTCTCCTGCAACAACCACCAATTCCTGCCTGGTGACAGCATGGACCTCCACTCACTGCCAGCCCCAGCACCAGCTTCGCCGCCCTCCCTACCTGTGCATCCATCTGTCGAGCCTGTATGTATCGGACGGCGGGCAGCCGCTGCTCATGGGTCAGGAACTTGAGCTCTGCCAGGATCTCGTCGCCCCCAGGGACCTCGAACTCCTCCAGATCCGACTTCTTCATGTCCTTGGCGAGCGAGGTGTACACCTGTAAAGAGAGAAATTGTCGGGAAGGGAGTGGACACAGGCCTGTAGTCCCGCTGCATTGCTGGGGCCTGGGTCCCTTTGGAACTCCAACCCCACACTGCAGTCGCCGACGCCTGCACCCACCTCCACCCCTCAGCCAGATGATGCCTGCTAGAACAACCCACCTGCAAAGCGGTGAGCCACAGGTGCTGGCGGCGGCGCTCCACCCCGGCCACCTCCTCCACGGTGGCGGAGTCGTAGCCCAGGGGGACCAGCTGCCCCAGGAACCGTGCCAGGGTGGTCCATGCGTCGCTCTCCCTGGACAGGCGCTCCAGCATCACCTCCGCGGGCAGGGAGGGACCGTCGGAGGGGTCTGGCTTGGTGGCTGCGTCCGGGGAGTCTAGGTCCATGAAGCCGGGGGGCGGGCGGAAATCGCGTGTTTGGTTCATGGACAGGGAGGAGGACCCGCCCTGTCTGCTGTTGCCCTGCCCGGGAATGATCAGGCGGGAGGACTGCTGACCGGGGCCCTGATTGAACTGCGCATCCCCTGGTAGTATGAGTCTTTGACGGCCTCCGGGGTTGGTGGCCTGGCAGGAGACGCGCATGGGCCGTCTGGTCCCCAGGGACACAGCTCCGTGTGCAGCGGTCATGATGGGAGCAGTGCCACTGGACAGAGGATATCTCGTCAGGGGGGGGCCGTTTGCTCAGATGGATGTATTTATTCCTATACAATGTGTGCATACATGGGCTCCCATGGCCCCTTGCTGTAGAACATGGGCAATTCGCACTTCGCCACTCCCGAGCTGTGTCGCCGGAGTGGCTAAGGTCTGGCGCGCTGAGATGCGAACATCTTTCCTGGAATTCTTAATTCCTCCCCACCATCGCGCGTTCAAGCTCCAGAGATTCTAGTTCGGAGTTGTACTGTATGCAAGGGACGCTCAGTGGCGCATTCTGAGACGGAAAGTGGCTGTGGCATGGCTGGGCTCGAACGCAGCTTGGGCCTGCGATGTCCTGCCGCGGTCCTTCACAGCAATCACAGCCGTACATGCTCTCAGAGATGGTTTCGGAAAGGCCCCCAGGGCCCTCCTCGCTCCCGCTTCCCGTCCCGGCTTGCGGTGCAGAGCCTGGAGCGCGAGCAGGCCGAGCTCCAGGGCGATGCCCAGCCATCCACCAGCCAGGAGGGCGTGGACAGCAGCACCTCCGAATACTGGCAGGAGCTCATCAGCACTCCCGACAGCGAGCTGTTCGGCTCCAGGGCCCGCTCCGCATCGGATGCAGCGGTGCTGCGCCGGAAGGGGCACCTGAAGGAGCAGGACAAGTTCATCAATTTTCTGCAGGAGATGCACCGAACGCACACGTGCCTTGAGGTGTGCAGGGATTGGAATTGGCGTCTGGGGGTGCTATGCAGAGTGCTTGCGCCCTTGCATGGTCGCCACAAGGTGTTATCGCGCCAAGCACACAATCCTGGACGGCTGCCCATTCAAATCGATTCTCCCCACCACCACAGGTCATGCAGAAGGTGGAGCAGTGGGCTCTGGAGCACCACCGCAGCCCCCGGTCCAGCCGCCTCAAACGCATGGTCCCCAGCCTGGGCAGCTTCTTCACCCCCCTCAGGTGGGAGCAGCATGGTGATGAGCAGGTGCTGAGAAGAAAGAGTGGGTGGCTAGGCCCTTTACAGACCTCGACCAGCAATGCAGAGACTCGTGCACGGCCACCCACAAGTGCCCGACTTGTGTCCTCAGAACACCTCCTGCGGGATGCCACCGCCACCTCCTACCTCTCAAACAAACCTTGTCCTCCACCTCACCCACCCACCCACCCTGATCCCCTCAGACTGGTAGACGCCTTCATGGAGTATGATGAGTTCTTCGCCCTCTCCCGCCGCCACTTCATCCCCCCCAACTTTGCGGAGCTGCGCCACATTCTAAACATCGCCCAGATCCATGCCTCCGCCACCAGCCTGCGCCTGGTCACCTTTGACGCGGACGGCACGCTGTACGCCGACGGCGCGCACATGCAGCACGACAACGAGATGATTGGGCATGTGATTGACCTCATGCGCGCGGGCGTGCACGTCGCCATCGTCACCGCCGCGGGCTACCCCAACGAGCCGGAGCGCTTCGAGGAGCGCTTCGACGGCCTACTGGCCGCCCTGCGCTACCAGCCCAAGGCGGTGGTCAACAGGTGGGTGGTGAGGGGTGGGCCCCTGTGCTCCTTGCAAGTGGGGTGGCCTGGCGGGTGCTCTGGCAGGATCAGGATCGCTGACAAGTGGGAGTAGCCTCCGCATCCCAGGCGGGCTGGGTCTGGCCAGCCTCAGCGAGCATCCCTTGCGGCTCCATGACAGTCGCTGGGGAACCCCAGCCCTCCCCCCCCAAAGAATCATCCTGCGATCCACGTGCACATCTCTCCCTGCACGATCCAAGCGACCCCCTACATGCCCCCCGCCCCCTTCCCAAAACCCCAGGTTCCACGTGATGGGTGGGGAGTGCAACTACCTGCTGCGCGTGGACCGGGGGCGCCTGGCCTTCGTCCCGGACTCCGAGTGGAAGAGCGAGTTCATGGCCAGCTGGCGCGAAGACGACATCCACGAGCTGCTGGAGACCGCGGAGCGGCTGCTGCTGGAGGGCGCGGAGCGCCTGCGCCTCCCCGTCAGCGTGGTGCGTAAGGAGCGCGCGGTGGGCGTGGTCCCCTCCGCGCCCACCATCTACGAGGTGCTGGAGGAGCTGGCGCTGACCGTGCACGCCGGCCTGCTGGCGGGGCCGACCCCCAACCTCCCCTTCTGCGCCTTCAATGGGGGCAACGATGTCTTCGTGGACGTGGGCAACAAGAGCATCGGGCTGGAGGCGCTGATGCGCTACGTTGGCGTGGGGCCCGCCCAGGCCCTGCACGCCGGGGACCGCTTCACCGACTCGGGGAACGACGTGGCCACGCGCGACTGCTGCTCCATCATCTGGGTAGCCAACCCGGAGGAGACCGACTTCTTCATCAAGATCCTGCTGGCAGACATCGAGAAGCGGGAGGGGAGGTGGGGGAATGGGGGACCGCCCGCGTCCGCACAGTGAGGGAGACGGGTGATGCCATCTCCTGGCCACGATCCTCTTCCAGGTGCCAAAACCCTCCATCCTTCCTAAAACTCATGCTGCGATGCGCCCTGTCCTTGCTGCTCCCCCTTTTGCCCCCCCCCCCTCTTGCCCACCCCTCTGCTGAGCGGTATTGTTGCACGTCTGTCCTGTGATGACGTTTTAAGCCAGAAGGTATGACCGAGCAGAAACAGGGACGTGAGTGTCTTGCTGATGGTCATCTCGAGTTACACAAAACATATACATGTGGTTGCTTTTGGCAAAGGGACACGTGGGTTTACACTTCCGGGCTGATGAACTCTCTGCTCGTACATTGTGCAGCACACCCACAACAGCTGCTCTACATGATCTGCCAGGGGTTGTTCTTGGGCAGGGGAATGTACACTGCCTTTGTCTGTGGGATCAGCGAGGATGGTGCTGGGGGCGTCAAGAACGAGGTGTGCTGTCTCTGCTTTGCGGGTCATCTCAACGACTACACAGCCTCATTGGCAAACCTCCTCATCCCTCACCTGGGTGTAATGCTCCAGCACCTCCTTGCCGTGTTCACGCCCCAAGCCAGACTCCTTGTAGCCACCAAAGGGCACCGCCGCATCCAGAACATGGTGTGTGTTCACCTGAAGAATGGGCACGGAAAGGCTGAAACATCCAGTGGTGTGTACGGCGCGGGTGGCTTAGCTTGTCTGGGCTCCACTCTCAGAATAAATCTGTCGCAAGTACTACGCCATACCACAACTTGATATGCCTGGCCAATCCTTCATCTATGCATGCTCCTATGTGCAACCTTCGCTTTTGCTCCTTTTCCTAAACCTTATCTTGTCGATGCCCAGGTTCCCGGCTCAGAACTCACCCACACGGTGCCGGCCTTCAGAGTGCGGCTGGCAAGCTGCATGGTCTCGATATCCTTGGTCCACACCGCCGACGCCAGGCCATAGTTGGTGTCGTTCGCGCGCCGAAGACCCTCCTCCAGTGTCTTGTACTTGAAGATGATCTGGTGTGGGGGAGATAAAGATGTTGGTTGGTGAGAGTCTGGAGGAAATGAGTGCCATGCAGTGCAAAGCAGTAAAGACACTCAATGCAGGATGATGTTCTCACCCAACATCCCAGCCGTCAATGGCTAGCAACAACTTCTGACCTTCTCCTCGCCGTCACCACCCCTACCATTCCCAGTACCCAGCTTGGACTCCGCAGAACTCCCCCCACCCTACACACACACACACCTGGACGGGGCCAAAGATCTCATCCCGCGCAATGTCCATGTCGTCCTGGACATCCACAAACACGGTGGGCTGCAGGAAGTACCCCTCCTCGCCCAGCCGCTCCCCACCCGCCACCAGCTTGGCGCCCTGCTTTTTCCCGCTCTCGATCAGCTCCAGCACCTTGTCCATCTGCTGCTCCGAGATCATCGGCCCGTGCTTGACGTCCGGGTCAAAGGGGTCCCCGGTCTTGCGGCCCTTGGCCAGCTCGATGCTGCGCGCGCAGAATTCGTCGTAGACGCGCTCGTCCACAAACACACGCGCCCCGCACTCGCAGGCCTGACCCGCATTGAAGAACAGGGCCTCGTGTGCGCCCAGCGCGGCGGCCTCCAGATCGGCGGTGTCGGTGACGATGACGGGGGAGTTGCCGCCCAGCTCCAGGGTCACAGGCTTGAGGTTGCCCGTGGCCGTGCCGCCGATGATCTTGCCGATCTTGGTGCTCCCCGTGAAGGCCACCTTGTCAATGCCCGGGTGGTTGCAGATGGCGTCCCCGATGTCAGAACCCTTCCCCGTCAGCACGTTGAGCACGCCGGGGGGCAGACCCGCCTCCAGCGCCAGCTCGGCGATGCGCAGGCCCGTCATGGGCGTGTGCTGGCTGACCTTGAGCACCACGGTGCAGCCGACAGCCAGGGCGGGGGCCAGCTTCCAGGCAGCCATCAGGGCCGGGAAGTTCCAGGGCAGGATCTGGCCCACCACGCCGATGGGCTCGCGCAGGGTGTAGGCGGTGAAGCCCTTGCCTGTGACCCCGGCGGAGCCCACGGGGATGGTGGCGCCCTCGATCTTATCCGCGAACCCCGCAAAGTAGCGGAAGTGGTAGATGGTCTCCGGGATGTCCACCGTGGAACTCTGTTGGGTGTGTGTGTGGGGGGGGTAGCCTTGGCGACTAGACGTCGGGTGGCAGGCACTCTGATCCAAGCATCACGGGCCTGAAGCGCTACAGCAGTCATCTAACAGATCCCAGCTCCCACCTGGCTGTAGGTCTTGCCGTTGTCTAGCGTCTCGAGCAGGGCCAGCTCCTCTGCATTCTCCTGTAGGCGGAGGGATGAGATGATTGTGAGGAGGCAAGGCCCAACTTGTGTAAATTCCTCAGACCAACCAAGATCGGCCCCACCCGCCACCAGCTTGGCGCCCTGCTTTTTCCCGCTCTCGATCAGCTCCAGCACCTTGTCCATCTGCTGCTCCGAGATCATCGGCCCGTGCTTGACGTCCGGGTCAAAGGGGTCCCCGGTCTTGCGGCCCTTGGCCAGCTCGATGCTGCGCGCGCAGAATTCGTCGTAGACGCGCTCGTCCACAAACACACGCGCCCCGCACTCGCAGGCCTGACCCGCATTGAAGAACAGGGCCTCGTGTGCGCCCAGCGCGGCGGCCTCCAGATCGGCGGTGTCGGTGACGATGACGGGGGAGTTGCCGCCCAGCTCCAGGGTCACAGGCTTGAGGTTGCCCGTGGCCGTGCCGCCGATGATCTTGCCGATCTTGGTGCTCCCCGTGAAGGCCACCTTGTCAATGCCCGGGTGGTTGCAGATGGCGTCCCCGATGTCAGAACCCTTCCCCGTCAGCACGTTGAGCACGCCGGGGGGCAGACCCGCCTCCAGCGCCAGCTCGGCGATGCGCAGGCCCGTCATGGGCGTGTGCTGGCTGACCTTGAGCACCACGGTGCAGCCGACAGCCAGGGCGGGGGCCAGCTTCCAGGCAGCCATCAGGGCCGGGAAGTTCCAGGGCAGGATCTGGCCCACCACGCCGATGGGCTCGCGCAGGGTGTAGGCGGTGAAGCCCTTGCCTGTGACCCCGGCGGAGCCCACGGGGATGGTGGCGCCCTCGATCTTATCCGCGAACCCCGCAAAGTAGCGGAAGTGGTAGATGGTCTCCGGGATGTCCACCGTGGAACTCTGTTGGGTGTGTGTGTGGGGGGGTAGCCTTGGCGACTAGACGTCGGGTGGCAGGCACTCTGATCCAAGCATCACGGGCCTGAAGCGCCTAAGCAGTCATCTAACAGATCCCAGCTCCCACCTGGCTGTAGGTCTTGCCGTTGTCTAGCGTCTCGAGCAGGGCCAGCTCCTCTGCATTCTCCTGTAGGCGGAGGGATGAGATGATTGTGAGGAGGCAAGGCCCAACTTGTGTAAATTCCTCAGACCAACCAAGATCGGTGCAGATCTACACGCCATTTCATCTGGCAGCAGTCATGAGCAAAGCGGATCCCTGGGCACCTCCAGCAGGTCTGCCAGCTTGAAAAGGATGCCGGCGCGCTCCCGCCCACTCATACGGGGCCAGGGACCCTCATCAAAGGCCTTGCGTGCTGCATCGACCGCCCTGTCGACGTCCTTGGGCTTTGCCATGGCGATCTCCAGCAGGGCGTTGCCATTGCGGGGGTCCACAGACGTGAAGGTCTCTCCACCAGCAGCATCCACGAACTTGCCGTCGATCAGAAGCTGCACAAGGGCATTCAACGGAGGGGTGACTGCATGCTGTGTACGAGCACAAGTTCAGGATGGAAGTCTGACAATAAAGTAAACTATGATGAAGCCTACAGTTCATATCCAGATAGGACCGTTTCAGACTCCCAACCACACTGTTCTTACCTTGGGTTGAACCTTGGACACAAATCCCAGAGCCCTCTCCCCGAGCCTGGTTTTGTGGTGGAGAGGGTGCGATGAGAAAAGGTGAGCAACTTTCGGCGCCACCCATCTTCAAACCTCGTGTTACCTCGTAGCTCCAAAGATCGAAGCATACCCAATCTAAAAAGCCATTGAAGTGGGCTCAGAACTCACTTATTGTTTGCCTTTGACGGTTTGGGTGGTGCCGCAACCGCCTTGACCAGCAGGCTTCTCCGATTGCAACCCTGTCGACCATGTGGAATTGTCCGCGCAAAGAGGCTTTGGGCTACCATTCTGCTTAATGAAGTCGCTTAATACTCGTTCAAACCTTTCAGAAATGATTATGCCTTGTTTTTCCGCCTGCACAAGGTTGAGCATGGTTTTTGGACAGTGGTGGACGCCGTCCGGACCGTCGATAGCAGCTGAGTCGAAGCTCATTGAGTAATGTCCGAATCTCAACTTCTGCGCCGCCTCTCGCACAACGATGGGTGCATGTTAATGTAGTTTAAGCATGTGCGTCTTACCCTAGAGCTGCGAGCGGATCAACTTTGCTGCCTTAGTGCGAGGCTCCACCAAATCAAGCAGTGATCGACGAAGCCGACTGATTCTTAACCAGCCGCCCGGCTAACGACTTGCTGCACACATCCCCAACAACCAGCAGCGGCACATGGACACACCGGTGCTTTGATGTTCTCTTCCTACATTTGATGATTACTTCGCCGATCAGTTATGCAATTTGAGACACCGAAACCCTGCATGATTGTCAACACTGGCAAACCCTCCTGATGTTCCAGGTGGAGAGCTTACTCAGTCCACCCTCCCTCTCTGACCCAGCTTGTCCGTCCGCACCCAGCACCGCCATGCCCTGGACCAATGTATCCAGGCTCACCCTCTACGATCTTGCACCGAATCACCGATGATCTCCTCCAGTTCCGTTGTCTTTCCTGCGACCTTGTCGACCTCTGAAACAGTACATGTGCTCGTTGCCAGCACGAAATAATTGCAGTGTTGGTGGTGTCAGTATAGGAAAGGGATGATGCGCCATCGGACCAGCTTGCAGTACTTGTCCCAGTCCTTGCCATACTTGAGCCTACATGCGTGGTCGTCCCGCATCGCTCGGTGCACTGCAATTGGGATGCTTGAGGGGGTCATGCGGTGATGATCCAAATTCACACACGTTATTTGGCAATGCGGAGGCCAATTCACCATGGTGACAGCGTGCACTCCCCTGGCACTCGCTTGCCCCTGACACTGCTCTCTGATCCCCACCCATCACCCCTTCATAGCTCTCTCCCCTCACCCAGCAGCGCCGCAAAGTAGATTACGTAGTAGTAGGGCACCAGCCCTGCCGCACTCCCAGTGGGCAGGCACCAGGCCCAAGCCATGAGCCAGTCCCCCAGGTAGTTGGGATGCCGGGACAGGCCCCACCACCCCGAGGTCAAGAGGCGCGTGCCCCGCTCCGTGGGCAGGCTGGAGAGGTGCGCCACGCTGGCGTGCCCTGGGTCGCGCCGGAACTGGTCCTTCTGGCTGTTGGAGCCGCGGAAGGTGGCGTACCCCAGCCCCTTCAGCGCGATCAGGCCTGCGATGCTCAGCGCGCCCAGCATGGGCCCGCGGCTGACCAGGAGGCGCGCCTGGAGGCTGTAGGTGAAGGGGACCAGCGAGGTGTCGCCAAAGGCCAACATGAAGCCAAAGCCGTCCGACACAATGTCCATGGTGGTAAGGATGGCGGGTTCGTGGTACAGGGCGTCCCAGACATACAGGCCCTGCAGAGTGGCAGAAAGTTGGAATGAGATATTGTGGACGGGGGCTATGGGAGGGTGCAGGGAGGTCAGGGCCTGGGGTCCTGCATGAAGCACACAGTAATGCTGCATTGAAGCTTATTTTTCAGACAGGTACACTCCATGTATTTGCATACTACCCTGAAGAACTCTGTTCAAGCTCAGCTTAAATTCGCCAGGACAGACCTGGAACGCGCAGACGAGGGCCATGGGCACGGACACAGACCCCTGCTCCTGCAGCTGCTTGTGTGCGCAGGCCAGATCGATGACCAGCCACCCGATCAGCCCTGTGGGCAATCACGGACATTGGTGGAGGAGACTTGAGTGTCAGTGACGATGTGCTTGATGTTCATCCCGGGGGTTGGGGTGGATGCAGACAGCCCCACATCCCTGCTACATCTACCAAACAACAGGGGTGCTCCCAGACACACACGCACCCGGGATGAGCTCGCAGAACTCCTTGAGGTCGAGGCTCCCGATCCGGGGGTTCAGCTCGCGGCCAATGAAGAAGTCATAGATGTGGTACCCAGTGTCCCCCCCCGCGGCCAGCAGGGGCGGCCGCTCCCGCCACGGGCTGTGGGAGGCCGCAAATAGGGCCACCGAGCCCAGCACGCTCACGATCAGGCTGGCAGTGAACAGGGGGAGGTAGTTGTCGTACACCCAGCCCAGGTTCAGCACGTCGGTGGCGAAGCCCAGGCCAAAGACGAGGGCGAGAGTTACCACCAGGTTCTGCATACCTGCGTACGTGATGTGGCCGAGAAAAGGGGTTGAGCCGGCGAGGCGGGCCGGCTGGGGTCCCACTTGACCCAAATCAACAACAGCACACCATGTCATCACCCCAGTGGCACACCGGTGAACTTGTAGAGGAGGCGCTCGCCATTGGCCAGGGGCACTCCTTGGACGTGCTTGCCAGGCAGTAGGAGGTGCAGTAACACCTGAAACGCAAGCCAGCCTAGGTACACCCCCAGGGCTCGCCAGCTGAAAATTGGTGTGGAGGAGGTGAGGCCGGGGAGGGCCGGATGCTTGAGGCTGAAGCAATACTCAGGCCCGCAGCTAAAGTACAGGAGGTAGCAGACGACTGGAAGTCCAAGGGTGATGCCTATGGGACCCAGGTACGGACCAAAGAAGTCGAACTCCTGGGCGTGTCGGCCCTGTTGAGTGATCATGGCGTGCGGGGTTGCCCGTCTCTCAGGCCGTGGCCCCACTCTTAGTTATCGCAGAGAGAGGTATTTCACTTGGTTCGAATAGCAATACTGGATCTGGATTGTCTTTTTCGTGACAAAATGCGTCACATTGGCTATGAGCGATCTCGTCGCAGCGCCCGGGCATGGTGCTGCGCTGTGCAAAACGCTACGGATCTCGGACGTAGATAGATTTCCGGGAGTGATCGGCCCCTAGCTCATCAATCACACCAGCATGAGACTCTTGAATCGCCACACAATATTATATTTTCACTAATAGAATCACAGAATAATGTCCTGTCTCTCACTAACACCCACATGCCGCCCGGGGCGACCTGCCCTCCGCTGCTCGCACACGCTGCAGCCACGGTGCCGAGTCATAATGCACACTGGTGAGGAGGATAGGAGCATTATGCTGCCATCTAGACCAAACCTTGCAGCTAGCATGCTCTGCTCATCGTAATGCTGTGTGGAGGAACTGCATGGGGAAGAGCTGCATCTCTGCGCGCATGGACGTCCAGCATGGAGACTATAACCAGCAGAAGAGTTCCCAATCTTCCCCCCATCACCCACCACACGTACAGATATCCGCCCCTTCGTTATCCAAGTGGAATCGACCACTCTGTCCATCCCACTAGAGGAAGCGGAAGCACGGCAACTGGCCGTAGGTCTCAACAATGTTCTCAAAACGTTTCAGGAGAAGCAGACCGCTGAGCGACCCAAGCGCTGGGACAGCATGAGCGTGACTTTGGAAGGTAATCGGGTTTGGGTTGATCATATATGATGGCTTTTTCAATGTTCTTGAGTGCTGGGCCTGTAGGCATGGGTTGGACGGTCATGCCAGACGCAGCAGTTGCGGCTCGTGTCCTCAGCTGCCATCCAAGCTTCGAAAACACCGAACAGCACCTCTGCACCATCTTTGCAGGTGGGAGCTCTGATTCCAGGCAGTCGCTTCAGGCGATGTGCAATCCCAATGCCCATGCCACCGCCTTTGAGGCTCGAGTGTGGCTATCTGTCAAGACAGGGGGCATGTCGGTGGCGACTGAGGCCAAGCTGAGTGCCTTCAGGGCCGCGCTGGAGGCTTATTTTGAGCAGTTGCGCACCTCCAAGACTGTTGCTTGATATGCTGTGATGGTGAGGATGGACATGGGCATCCCAGATATCAATTTTAGGACACTCTGCTTTGTTGGAACGCCGGGTCGCACTGAGGAAAGGACGGAAGTTGCATGGAACTGAGGGCACGTAGCTAATACATGTCATTGATGACAAAACGCCAAGGCGACCCACTCTTCTGTACCAACTCGAGAAATATTATTTCCAAAGCTATCTGGCATCTGAGGTAAGCATGACACAGACACTGACCAGCATGATAGCTCGGCCGGTCGCGCCCGGGTCGAGCATCACTCATCACAGCGGGGCATGGAGCTCACGACTCGCTCCCATGAGCACGCGACAACCCTTTACTACAAGAACCAGGGTGCGTGGGGCCATGAGCATGCCTCTGTGGTCGAGTGCTGTCTGTGTCCCATGCTCGACGTCGTCATGATCCCATTTACTCTTCACCTCCACTGCAGGCCGCTGTCAAGACGGCGGAGGCCAGCGCCTCTTCCTCCACGGACAGTGAGGAGGAAGAGCTCAAGCCGCAGCCCGTAGACCAGGCTAAGGACAAGCTGTACATAGGGTTCCCAAAGGGTGAGTAGCCTGCTGTGCAAGTGTTCTTCTCCCATGCAGGACAGGTGCCCACTGAGTCTGGTCCACGGTGTCACCACTCCCTCCCAAACCCAAACTCACTCGCAACCTCAACCCCCCAATCCCCCTCGGCAGGCGACTACAAGCCCCGGCGGGGGCGAACGGGTCGCATCGTGGTGGATGACCCGAGCCTCTACCCCGACCGTGACGCGCTGGGCATCGGGGGCTGGGCGGGCGGCGAAGTGGGCCTCCGCGCTTTCCTGGAGCGCTCCGGCGACGTCGCGCGGTATGAGGACGCACCGCTGGAGACGCCGCTGGCCGCCTCCCCGCCCCGCCCCGCCCAGGACCCCTTTGCCGGGAACGACCGCATCTACGTCGGCCGCGGGCGCTGGATCACCGCCGACGCGCGCAAGTTTCCCTACCGCGACGCGTTCTCCGGCGGCTTCGCCGGCGGCGAGCTGGGCGTCCGCACCTTCCTGGAGCGCGGCGACGTGCCCATCGGCCCGCCTGGGCCGCGCCGGCCCTCGGCCCTGACCATCGCCAGCACCGTGGCCGCCGCGGGCACAGTCAGCGCGCTGCTGATCACCGACGCTGAGGAGGTGCTGCCGGGCGCGCTGCGCACCGTGGCCGTCCCCCTGCGGGCGGGGGTGACGGGCCTGACCACGCTGGACGACGGCACCAAGCACGCCCTCCAGGTGGGGAGGGGGAGTTTTTCGGGAAGAAGGATTGAGAAGGGCATGGAGGGGTGCCAAATCCTCTTTGAAGGAAGCCTGGCGCTCGCTCCGGCAGCATGCACCGACGGGCAAGATCCCTGTTCTTAGCACACGTCCACCCTCGTGCATGCCACAACACGCGCTGCCCTCCACACCCCAGATCGCGGGAGTGGGCGTGGGCGCCGTCCTGGGCGCCGTAGCCCTGTCCAGACTGGTGTCCACGCTGACTGGGAAGCTGGCAGCGGGACTGCAGCGCGTGGCGGTCACGCTGCTCTTCAGCGCCGCCTTCCTTGCCGCAGCCGGGTATGTCCTGGAGCTGTACTGACCACCTCTCTTCCTGTAACATCGACCGTAGCGAGAAAGGGGGCAAGAGGAGCAAGCATACGAATCAGATGCGAAGCGAGGGGGGGGTAGAAGCAAGGTCGACAGGAAGCATTGCAGCACCTGGAAGGCAGGCAAAGGACTCAGGCCTACTGTCTGTTCTTCGCCCCCAGGCGCCTACTCGTCGCCCTCAAAGTCAGAGTCGTCCTCATCATCCTCGTCCTCTGCTTGTGGGCATGATGGAGGGGTGGGGTGGGAGGCGTGGCAGGTGATCAAGCGACAAATAGGCAGGCAAAGAACCCGTGGTTCTCACGTCCCTCATCGCCATGCATCCCTGAGCGATCGCCATCCCCTAGACACCCAGCATGTTTTGCCATCAATCAAGAATCGCACACCTTCCTCCAGATCCTCTTCCTCTGCAGCCTGGGAGGTGCGTTTCCTCTTGGAAGGTGGTGGGGTGGGGGCGTCCTCCTCGTCCTCATCGCTGTCGAGCAGATCTTCATCAGCCGGCTCTTCCTCCTCCTGTGCCATCGTGCAGGCTGTGATTGGTACGGCGGCAGGGAGCTGCGTGTGCCAAGAGAAGGGGCGCACCAGCAGGTCAGAGTCAACACCAGGCCGACGGCCCGCACTCACGGCATAGTCCTCCTCGTCATCGCTCAGAGGCTCCTTCGCCAGCAGAGCTTCGGTGCCAGGCTCCTCCTGGGGAGAGGAAGGCGACGGGATCTAGATGAGCGAGAGGTGGGTGGGGCGCAGATGCAAGTATGGCACCTGAAAGGGAGCAGGAACTCGAGGAGACAGAGGAGCAACATATCAATCCCCGGTGCCAGCACTGACCTCCTCTTCCTCCTCTTCCTCCTCCTCTGCCTCCTCCTCGTCATCGCCGGCAGGGCCCGCTGCCTCGTCATTCTCCTCATCATCCTCCTGGGTTGATGACACGGCAGGGCGGCATGCAGCAGGGAAACATGGTTGGCTGTGCCGGAGACCTCACAGCACGGGGCTGTGGGGCGTGATTCTCTCGTTGCCACACATCCCCACATGCGAGTACAGCACGAGCCTCGCTCCCCATGCCGGCCCACCCATTTACCTGGTCATCGCCAGCAGAGCCTCCGCCGGGGGATCCCCCTTCCTCTTCGCCCTCCTCGCCCTCGTCCTCCTGGTGGGTGCAAGACAGGTGATATTACAAGCACCAAACCCGCCCAGCATCCAGTCTGCAGTGTCCTTCACCTCCATGCGGCGCCCCCTCACTGGACCCACGCAATCACACCTCCTCCTCCTCGTCTTCGTCCTCAGGGTCGAACTCCTCCTCAGCCTCCGAGGCTTCCTCCGTCTCGGCGTCCACAGCAGGACCTGGGCGTGGGGGCGACATGGTTGTGATCATGACACAGCCCTGGACATGCTGACCTGCCTCCAATCTGCTGGGATCATGCTCGACGCCCCCTCGGATCAATGACAATGTCCTGCTAGCCACTCACACTCCAGGATGAAGCGATCGTCGCCCAGGACAGGCGCAGCGGCGGGGAGTACAGCCATCATTCTGCTTATATTGACCGCCTGCTGGTTTCAGATATGAAGGATCACGATGATTTGGGGCTCCGCCTAATGCTCAGCGCTGTCTAGCAGCGCAGCAGCTGCACTGTTCAAACCGTGGAGGGCACGGGAGTGCGTCTTTATGAAGACGGTGGGGACACAGCTGTGGTCGTCAAACTTATTGTCTCTCCCGAGGATGGTCCGCGAGGGACATTGGGGCTGGGGTCCGCATGCGGGTGTGGAGTGTCGCACTTCGAAGGAGGGCTCCCGCCATGCAAACCTTCTCACACCAGGGAATGCTCGCAACTCCCATCCACGCAGACAGGCACTCGACAGAGGTTTGTGTGGCATCCTGTCATATCCTGAGCATTGGTGAAGGGCATCGCCTGTCATTTCCTCAATCATCTGACGAACGGCCAATAGCCCCGCTTGTGTGGCTGCCCCATGGAGGCTGTGGAGGACCGACGAAAACGCCTGAAGGCAATATCCAGCAGTGCCAATGATACTTCAGATGCCAGTGATGCGCCTAAGGGCCCACTGATCAACCCATTAGCCGACGTCAAGACCAAGAACCCCGCTTCAAGCTCAGCAGGCTTTTCCTTTTACAGGTCTGCATGGTATAGTCAACTGCTCCTCCTGACTCGACTATATTCCTCTTCCCTCTCAGACACCACTCTGATCCCCAAACTGCACAGCAATCCTCTGGGGGCCTCCTCGAGCTCAAGACCAGTGCTGCACCAGCACCTACCCTTACCCCCGGCCTGCCTGGCCACTTCACCATGGCCCCCTCCACCCGGCATGGCGCAGCCCCGACCTCCCCCACCAACCACGCAGCCCCAACCTCCACCACCTCCCGGGATGGCACAGCCAGTCCCCGCCTTCCGTCCACACCAGGTCGTGCCAGGGACCGCTTGGAGACCTGGTCTGCCAGGGCCCCAAGTCTATGGGACCCCGCCTCCAGGGGCCCCACCACGGCCACCACTGGGGCAACCCCAACCTCCTCCGCCGCAGCACCAGCAGAACTGGAGGGAAAGGGGACCAGGAAGGGGGAGAGGCCGCGGAGGAGGCGGTCGGGGGAGAGGAGGTCGGAATGGACCTGCCCACTCAGGTATAGTTTTGTGTTAATAGTGGTGGGTGTTGGATCTCATTCGCCAGAGCACAGGTCATCAGTGTCTTTGTTTGATCTGCATGGGGCGCTCGGGTCGAGGATGGCTGTGCTGCTCAGCCACCATCCACGTGACTTTCCCAGGCCCTCCAGATGGGAGCTTGTACGTTAGCCCAAGTATGCTGGAGGACCCCTGGCGTTTCCTGGTGTAGGCATGAGAAGGTATGCACTCTGGACCGAGAAAATGTCATGCATTCGGTTGAGCCGTGGTCAGGGCACCTCCCTGATCTCTGCTCCACATCATGTAAAACATGCGCCCAGCCTTGGTGGATAAGGGCGAGGACGCGCGAAAGGCCTCCGGGCCAGCAATTTCAGCATAAGCGACTGGCAGTGGACCTCGAGTTCCTCCACAGAGCCTTCGAATATCTCTTTATACAGCTTCAATTGTTAGAACAACGACAGGCCGGACATGCAGTGCGCTTTCGTGGCTCCAACCCTGGTGGTGAGCCCCTCCTGCGCCCGGCAATGCACGATCACGGCAGCAACACGGCCGCAGTTCAAGTCGACGAAGTGAGTTGCGGATTTCAGGCTGCTGGGACATCTTCCAGTGCATAAACTTGAGGACTATGGTGCAGACCAGGGTCGTGCTTATCCCCCCCATGCAGGAAGCACACGCACAGGAGGCCTAAGAAGAGCAACCTGAGCGATAGGAAGCATGGCCCGGCAGTTTACCCACCCCTTCCCACGCCACCCCCCGAGTACATCGTCCTATCGGCCAAGGTAGTGAAGATTAGATAAAGGGCTGGGGTCTGCGGGTCGGCAAGCCCGAGTTGATGCCATGACGCGGTTGTGATGCCTGGACATAAACGTTGAAGGAGATCTTCGAAACTCACTCTCACACACAAATGGTCATAATTGTTTCCCTGTACAGGACGATGAGTCATCGTGATCACTTGTGGTCGTAGGGCCCCAGATTTTGACACACTGTGGGCGCAATCAGTGGGCTGGAGGCGGCTGATGTTCTTGCTGCCTTGCAGCCTTGGCCCTCTTGACACGACACAGACATTGTTGTGAGCGCTGTCTGCTTCATCCAGTATCCTCTACGAAAGCGGCGCTCCAGTACATGTCAGCTGAGCTTATGTCTCGTGCCTTGCTTGACCTGCTTGGGCTTGCTTACAGGTGCAAGGATTTGCACCCGGCATCTGTCACAATTCAATACATCAAGTCCATGGCCCTTCAAGAACCAGAGTACAATTAGCACTTATACATGACAGTTGATCACTGGCCTTGTCTCCTAATACTCTTAAGAGGCCGTTTGAGGAAGTGCAGATGGAGCCACTCCCCACACCATTCAGGATGTGCAACTCCCAACACACTCTACCGCGTGCATGGGGCTCAAGAGACCATTGAGCGGTTTGTAGTTGTCACTGGCAGGTACTGATGTGAGTGTGGATCCACGGGGACCTCCGCCTGCGACCATGATCCCTTCAACGAATCTCATGCATTGCATACTTTTCAAGTTGATGGTGAAGCGTACACTTTGGTACAAGACTGCAGCTCCTTGCACCCTGATGCAGCATGTAGCCATCCCATGCCCTCAGCAGATCACCAACCAACCTTGTAGTTGAATGTGGGACCATGGTATGCAGCTGAAGGGTCCCACGGCGTTCTTGATACCTTGCGGTGGGCGTGATTCTCCTGCCCCCGAACGAAAAATAAACAACACACGCCCCCATCGCTGCCCAGTCCCTCGTCCACACCTATTCCTTTCCCATGCTACGATGATATGCGATTGCAGCAGACAGCCCCCTGCACCATTTCCTTGCTGACGATGTCCCCGCAAAGATATAGATCAGCGCCGCACGGGCGACTCCGATGTGCCAATGGCAGCCCGGGGGAGGCAGCAGCTTGCGTGATCCTCGAGCACATGGGAAGCAATATTCAGCCAGAGGTTAGCTACTGCTTGATGGTGCATAATGTGCAGTGTCAATTCCTGAGCTGTTGTCTAGTTTCTGGACAGTGACGATGACAGCCATTGCCACAGCCTGCCTCTCCGACGATATTACACACTCAATCCATGTTGCAGGCAGCCCATGATGCCAGCATCCGCATCCTCCCCTGCCCCCTGCCTCCCAACTCCTGGCAAGCGCTGTCAGAGGCAGTCGCAGCGGAGCAGTGCAAGGGGGCCGCGCTCCTCGGGCACCTCCACCCTCGACCCCACCGCGCGCCATGCATGGCCCTGCACAGCCACCCACGCTGCCGCCTGCTGGGCAGGGAGGGGCCCGGCCGGCGCTTCGCAGACCGCGCCCTGAACTCCTGGCTGGCGCGTACCTTCCACGCTGTGCACGCCGCGGCGCCGCAGCCCGTGGTCCTCGGGCCCCACGGTCTGCACCACGCCCACCTCTTCCGCGCGCATGCTGCCGGGCAGGGCCTGGGCCTGCTCTTCCACGCCGCAGAGTATCCTGCCTACTGCGAGCAGGGGTTCCCCGTCCACCTGGGGTACTGCCAGGCGGGCAGCACCTTGCAGTACAGCCCAGACACCATGGCCTGGCGCAACTTTGTCTGGTGGGCGGGCGGGAAGTGAGGGGATTGGAGCTGGGGTAGGGGCGCTGGGAGGAGGGGGGCAGGCCTCCTCGACAGCAGACCAGACCCCTGTTGACCGTGGGAAGGCCATCAATGCCAAACATGACTGCTCAGTACCGTGAGTGGGGATGCGCTGCAGAACCGACAGCCTCTCTGTTGACATTCAAAGTACGCAAAAGCCCCGTCCCCTGCCCGCCATGCCTGCCCAGGTACGGGGGCTCACTGGCGGCGCTGGACACGGGGCCATCGTCGCCACTCAACCAGCGCCTGGTGTACCCCGGCTTGGAGGCGCTCGGTACGGTGTACGAGGGTAGCTTTGGCGACTGGCTGGCCGATGTGTACTACATATCTTGGTGGGCAGAGAGACGGCGCCAGCAGCGCATCCTTGTGTCTCTGCCCGGCATTCCCCATGCCCCTGCCCGCCGGCGGCGTCCTGAGCTCGGGTGACAAGGGGGGTGATCCTTGGTCGGGACAAGGGGGATCGTGTGGCATCGAAAGTGGATACAGGGGACTTCCCCTACGACGCTGCAGCCTCAAGGAGCCCTCCTGGATGTATTTTCTGCGTCGAATCACTTATACATGGGCAAAAGCACAAAAACAGTTCGTCACGGGGACTTCCCACGTGGTCACCCACCGCAGTACTATTCCCGCCCAATCCAGCTTAATTACCGAGGTCTAATGGGATCGGATGTGTTCTGGATGGTATGAACGAACCATGCGAGAGAGCGCATTCCATATGTATATCTCACCTGTTTAAGCACCTTGAAATAGGGCGCTGACGTTGAAGCTGCCAGACAAGACGAGACCGCGGTGTTGAATTCCTGAGACCAGGCACGCACGCATTCGGCTGTCTTTCTGAACGGTGTAACGCGAGCTGTTGTCGTCGCTCAGACACACCTCTGGACTGAGCAAGGAGGACTACAGACCGCCCGACCCAGAGTGGGTGCACTCCGCGGTAAGGTCGAGGCCATGCTGGCCTCCAGGCCCCGCTGCGGAGCCTCCCGGAAGCCTCTCACCCTGCTACTCGCGGGATTGGTCCTGCTGTGGCTGTGCTGGGCCCACCTGTCGGCCGTGACGAGCGTTGCGTACGCATACGGGTGGTGGGCCCTGGGGCCGGCCATCCCCGTCATGTCCATGGAGGCCCCCAAGAACGCCACCCTGGTGCCCAAGATCATTCACCAGACCTGGAAGGACAAGGACATCCCCGAGAAGTGGCGGGCGGCCCAGAAGTCCTGTATCGACCTGCACCCCGACTTTGAATATCGGTTATGGACGGACGAGGAGTCCCTCCGCTTCATCGAGGTGAGCCGGGGGTGGGGGTGCACTGGGGGGGGGGGGGGATTCAATTTTCGG